CTGGCTCAAGACAATAGAAACAAACACGCATTTTACCACTAAAATGGTGGGCAGACTTGTGTTTTTTCTTTGGGTGGATTTCATTAGAGAAAACATGGATATTTTCTTCTTTTGAAGCATCATCAACACAGATATCTTCCTGCTGACTCTCTAAGGGGGAAACTGCCTTGTGTGTCAGATAGAACTCATCGGCTAACACTGCAGCTACAGAGAGAGAAGAGACTTTTTGTTCATTTACATGAAACACAACTTTGTCTGGCAAATAACTTTTAAAGTCATCCAACAATAACAACTAACAGAGTTGTGCAAAATTGGAGACTTGGCTAGCTACACACCACTTCTGAAACAAAGCTTGCTTCTCATGGGCAAACTCCACAAAGGTTTGATTAGCTGATTTCACATGGGTTTTAAATTGCTGTCTGCAGGCCTCCGGTACCAATTTGTAAGCCCTTAACACAGCAGTCTTAACAACTACATAATCCAAACTGTGTTCAATTGGTAAAGCAGTACAAACTTCCTGGACCTTGCCTACCAACCTGCACCGCAGTAGCAATGCCCACGTCTCTTTAGGCCATCTCGTGGTAGCTGCAACCCGCTCAAAGGCAGTGAAGTATGTATCCACCTCAGTTTCCCTGAAAGGAGGCACCAACTTACCATGCTTACTAGCGTCAAATACAGACAGAGGACTGGTACTATGCATTGGTGTGGAAACTCCAGAGAGGGTAGATATAACATCTACTATGGGCTGAACAGGAGTATACGAGCTTTCATGACCATGCAACCTTGCAGTCTCCAGCTCTATCTCTCGCAAACGCAATAGCTGGTTCTCATGCTCTTGCCTTTTTATCTGCAATTCAAGTTATTTTAACCTGATTACCAACAAGGGATCATAACGAGCAGCAAAAGGACTCGTGTCACAGGAAGACTTCACGTCGGCAACCTCTGATGCAACAGCCAGCTCTTCAACACCACTGTCCACTGGCTCAGCTGGCAATATCTGCATATTCAGCAAACTACTGTACAACTCAGCCTTTAACAGTTGGTTAGAAGCATTAGGAGACACTACAACATGAAATAAATCAGCAATCTCTAGCAGGTCATCTTTCCTACATTAATTAAATATTTCCAAAGTTGGATTTTGAGTAAAATAAGATAGATCAAACTCCATTACTAACCTACCTCCATGGCAAATGAAAATATTCAAATCAAACACAATGACTTAGGGCTGATCTAGTTTTAAAGGATCCCGGACGAGCCCCCACTTGTTACGATCCTGTCTAGGGTGAGGCCGCAACATAAACTGGAATTGGAAACCAAAGATCCTTTGTACACTTTTATTTACAGAACCACAAATGAAAGCACAACTTTAGGGGTGAGCAAAGGCCAAAAAAAACTAAAAAAAACTAACTCCTGACAGAAAATCTAAATTCCCTATCAAAAGAAAATAAACTAAATACAATAAATTACCCTATCTCCCTATCTAATGAAAAACAGGAGAAAACACTATTTACAAAAGAAATGGCACTCACCCCGTACAGCTTCCATGTGTGGACACAATATTTACAATATTTTACAAAATATACAAAAAGGAAATGAGATTGACAGCCACTTATCAACTCAAAGCCAAAATTCACACTGCACACAACAGGCAGATCAACAAGCAAGCTAACAGTAACAACACACTGTAGCAAACAAACAATAGCACATGTACAATTGAACAACAGGAAATCCCAAGTTGAGCAGGGCTCCCTCTTCAGGCACTCCAGATCATTTTATTGCACCTTTGGCCACTTTAGCACCAATCACATCTGGAGATCACTTTGTTCTCATCCAATCCTGTGAAAGAAAGGACAGGACAAAAGAGAGAGAGAGAGAAAGAGAGTGAAACAAATACACAATACGTCTGGGGACGTAACATGATCTATAGTGTGGAACGCAGCGCTAAGATTGAGTAGAACTAGTATTGAGATACAGCCTTGGTAAGAAGTTAAATTGTAAATCATTTTAACTAGCGCAGTTTCTGTGCTATGATGCGGTCTGAATCCTGACTGAAATTTTTCATAGATATCATTTTCTTGCAAGAAAGAGCGCAATTGAGCGGACACAACTTTGTGTGAAATAAAAACAAGTAAATATTTCAACTGTGGTCAAATGTAAATTAACTTGTGCCTATTTAACTTAATCCAAAAAAAAAAATATTTCTGCAATTTGCCTTCATTAGCGATTATCATCAATTTAGTTATCGGTACACAGATAGGCTACTAATTAAACTAAACTGAGCTAGACAATGATATCTCTGAATTCAATAATGAAATGCCTTTAAAGGTGGTATCAGCGATTTCAGGTCCAAAAATAAAGGATCACATTCATCTAATGTTTTCTAACGATCCGCTAGCTGCCTGCCCCATAAGCAGGCCGTCAAAAAAACGTCTCTGTAGGCAGCCGTGCTCCGACTTTGCGTGCAGCCATGCACAAGCGCAAAACCTCACAACACCCACCCCCTGTCGGTGATTGGTTGGAACACAGTTTATTTTGGTTTTGGTGGTTGGTGAAACCCATTGTTTTTGTGTGCAGATTTCAGAGCCGCGTTTTTTGGCCGGCATGCTTATGGGGCGGGCAGCTAGCAGATCGTTAGGAAAAATTTGATGAATGTGATCATTTATTACATACCACCTTTAACTGAAACTGAATGTTTAATCTTATTTTTATACATTACTGACACACTATCCTCCAATTTGATACTGTTAAGTGCTTTGACACAACCTGTATTGTTAAAAGCACTATAAAAATAAAGGTGACTTGACTTCATGTCGATCCAGTGAGCATTGTTTTCTCGTGTGATGCACGCACGTTTGTGTTTAAATCTGTTCATCAAATAACGCTAATGTATTAACCAGCATTTATGACCGATGAGCAGTGCATTTGTTACAGTATATTTCAATCTTTGATAACAGTAGGTAATAAAAATACAACGGATCATGTAAGCTCTGGTCCAATGAAAAAATATTAACAGATAGAACTCAGGACATTTTTGTTCATGTAAAATATAGGCTACCTCATTGTCATGTTCTAGACTTGTTATATTTAGCTTTAAATAAAAAAATACCCCCTTAATATTGTGGCAGATTTTTTCTCCATGGTATCGAAAATGGTATCGAATATCGATATTTTTCAAGGTATTGTATCAAAGTTAGAAATTCTAGTATCGTGAAAACACTACTTTCTAAAAGCAAAATTCATTTGAGCTTGTGTTTCTGGTGTTCCCAGATTCACATGCGTATTAAGTAAATGGAAGGAAAAGTTTAGTCTGACCAGCACTTAAAGGTGACCTATAATTCAAAATTGAATTTACCTTGGTATAGTCAAATAACAAGAGTTCAGTGCATGGACATGACATAGAGTGAATCTCAAACTGGACTGTTTTCGCGTTCTCATTTAATTCACGTTTATGAAAAACACCCCTGAAAAACGGTCGGTTCTCCACACAATACCGACTGTGACGCAATAGTCGGGATCATTAATATGTACGCCTCCAAATATTTGCATAATGCCAGCCCTCAATGCCAGGCGGAACTGCGCAGCCGAAGCATGGCAGTTGCTCAGTGTGGATGTACACATGAACACAAAAGTATTTTTTAGTTCCTTCATCTGAGCCTCTGAAGAAACAATGGGTCAATTTTATTTTCTCTGGAAATTTCCAAACATTTCACCGAGTGTTTCCTCAACTTGGGCCAATACAGAGCTGGCCTCGGATCGAGCTAAGCAAAACTTTCTGATGTGTAATTGTTCAAGTTCAGACAGGTAATCTTTCTCTCAAAATCGTTCAATACTGTTTATGCATCAGTAAGTCAAGCCAGTGACTAAAATATCAGCTTCACATCGTTTCTTTTAGTAGGATGAAAATAATCGTATGTAAATTGTGAACAAATTATATACAGAAAGCGATCAAAGAACAATCTTTCCACACAGCGCGAGTTTATCTGGACACTTGCCAAACTCGTTATGAAATCAATGACGCACGTTACTGCACAACGAAGCTCTTACTGTATCATCGTGTTTGCATTGGTGAAAGCAGAGAGAGTGCAGAAACTGCTTTGCAATGATAAGATCTTCATTCTCGCGATCAACACACTGTCATCTGCTCAATGCTCATCACGGCAACATTTTATGTGATGGGAATAGATCTAAATACTTTAAAAACATCTCACGATTCGTTAATCTCGATAGCTGTTATAGTAAAAACGTATAATAGCAGTAGTAAAAGTATTCGGGAGAGAGTTTCACATGTAATGCGTACTAGCTATTTCATATGCAAGCATGTCAGCCAATCACAGCAGTGGCCGCGGTTACACTGAATCCCACAGCAGACACGCCCCTTCAAACAGAGTGTTCAAATCAGAGGCTAAAAGCAGGCTAGGAAAAATGCCATTTATTTCTAAATTATGATTATTTTTTATCTAAAAAACATACTAACATTATAAGGGTAACCCAGGAAACATTATAAAATAAATAAATAAAATATTCTAGGGCACCTTTAATAATTAAAACGTTTTTAATAACATAAATACAAATCTAAAAGTTGATGTTAAAATATGGCAGTATTGTGTGTTTTAATGTTAATATCACGTTTGTGTTATTTATCAAATATATTTAATAGTTCTTGCCACAGAAACATAGGATTTGTGTCTACCTCACAAGTGTTCACACTGTGACATGTACTAAATAAAATTGAGTTTACACTGATCTTTCAAATATTACCAAACGTTATGCGGACACAATGACTGTCTAAAATGTTTTTAAAATAATAATTGAAAGATCAGTGTACCTCATTCATAAAAAGTTTCTTGGACATATAATTAATTTATAAAAAGACATACAAACTATTGTAACATTTTATAGCAGTTGTATATTACATCTGGGCTAATTTTTATCTCCCTTCACTCCATATTTCTCTCTTTAAATTATTTTGAATGAAAATTTAAGTTTTTCTTTCATGTCAGACCTGATGGAAGTGAAGGAGGAGAGTGAAGAACTGAATGAAGTGAAGGAGGAGAGAGAAGAACTGAGTGAAGTGAAGGAGGAGAGAGAAGAACTGAGTGAAGTGAAGGAGGAGAGAGAAAAACTGAGTGAAGTGAAGGAGGAGAGAGAAGAACTGAGTGAAGTGGAGGAGGAGAGAGAAGAACTGAATGAAGTGAAGGAGGAGAGAGAAGAACTGAGTGAAGTGGAAGAGAAGAGAGAAGAACTGAGTGAAGTGAAGGAGGAGAGTGAAGAACTGAGTGAAGTGGAAGAGAAGAGAGAAGAACTGAGTGAAGTGAAGGAGGACAGAGAAGAACTGAGTGAAATGAAGGAGGAGAGAGAAGAACTGAGTGAAGTGGAGGAGGAGAGAGAAGAACTGAGTGAAGTGAAGGAGGAGAGAGAAGAACTGAGTGAAGTGGAGGAGGAGAGAGAAGAACTGAGTGAAGTGAAGGAGGAGAGTGAAGAACTGAGAGAAGTGAAGGAGGAACGTCATGTCCAACCTGGAGAAAACCCTTACAAGTGTTCACACTGTGACAAGAGATTCAGTCGGTCATCATCTCTGAAAACACATGAGAGGATCCACACTGGAGAAAAACCTTACAAGTGTTCACACTGTGACAAGAGATTCAGTCGGTCATCACATCTGAAAACACATGAGAGGATCCACACTGGAGAAAAACCTTACACGTGTTCACACTGTGACAAGAGATTCAGTCGTTCGGGAACTCTGAAAAGACATGAAAGGATTCACACTGGAGAAAAACCTTACACGTGTTCACACTGTGACAAGAGATTCAGTCGTTCGGGAACTCTGAAAACACATGAGAGGATCCACACTGGAGAAAAACCTTACACGTGTTCACACTGTGACAAGAAATTCAGTCGTTCGGGAACTCTGAAAAGACATGATAGGATCCACACTGGAGAAACACCTTACAAGTGTTCACACTGTGACAAGATATTTAGTCGTTTATTACATCTGCAAACACATGATAGGATCCACACTGGAGAAACACCTTACAAGTGTTCACACTGTGAAAAGAGATTCAGTCGTTCGGGAACTCTGAAAACACATGAGAGGATCCACACTGGAGAAAAACCGTACAAGTGTTCACACTGTGACAAGAGATTCAATCACTCATCATATCTAAAAACACATGAGAGGATCCACACTGGAGAAAAACCTTACAAGTGTTCACACTGTGACAAGAGATTTAGTCGTTCAGGAACTCTGCAAACACATGAGAGGATCCACACTGGAGAAAAACATTGCACGTTTTCAGACTGTGACAAGAGATTTTGTCATTTATTACATATGCAAACACATGAGAGGATCCACACTGGAGAAAAACCTTACAAGTGTTCACACTGTGACAAGAGATTCAGTCATTCACTAAATCTGAAAACACAAACACATGAGAGGACCCACAGTGGAGAGAAGCCACACCAGTGTGATCAGTGTGGAACGAGTTTCTGTTTTAAAACTCACCTGAAGCTACACATGAAGATCCATGCAGTGGAGAAACCACATCACCACAGTCTGAGATCACGGTAAGTAGGTCATCTTTGTGTTGAATCAGAAAATTCAACTGGAAATAAATATTTGTTTAGAAAATATTAAGCATGATTTCAAAAATCGTTGCAATGCCCAGCGCCCTAATATAGATGGTATTAAATGTGGCACTACACAAATGCCTGAAAATCATTTTATATTTTGCAAGGATTGGACCACACAGTGTTGTACTAATAAAAAAAAACATGACATATCGTAAAACGTATCGGTTACCTAACGTAACCTCGGTTCTTTCTAGAAGAGGGAAGGAGTATTGCGTAAGTTATCTTACGTTACGGGAAAGAGATATTTTCGAGATATTGAAGCCAAAAAATTATCCTTAATTTTGTATTCATTGTCAACGCAGTGCAGCAGCTAGCAGACCTAGAGCAGGCTGTCTAGCGTTCTCATAGACTGCCCTGCGGGAACTGCAGCTGCCTACCACTGAGCCCGATGTGACGTCACGTCCAATAAAGGGCACTCGCGCCTTCACAGCGTTATAGCCCCCCAGTATGGGCGTGGCTTAGAGTATATAAGCAGGGCTCGGAGGCTGATTCTCTGGTTTTCATCGACTGAAGCGAAGTCGCTCGTGGCGCGAGCAAGCCAGGTTACGCAATACTCGTTCCCTCTTCTAGAGAGAACCGAGGTTACGTTGGGTAACCGATACGTTCTATTACGAGAGGTTCTCTCGTATTGCGTAAGCTTACGCTACGGGAACCCTTTCTCAACGGCGTGCGTGTCAAGCATTCACACATGAGTCCCAGGGTTTTCCGGGGAACCCAGATAAGTGGAAAAATAAGGCGGCCAGCAACGCGGGCCAGCACTTGTACATAAGCACTAATAGGGAATACAGAGCGGCACCGCTGGTCTGTATAAGCATACAGCACATATCCATAAGTTCAGCTCAACCAGAAGAGCTTAGATACGTGAGAGTAGCCTGGGCACAATCATATCTGGACAGAACATACATCTCACTTATACAGACAGAAGTTTTGCCTGCAGAGCAGGAACTTCTAGCTTATAAAACCTGACAAAGGTGGACGGGGAGCCCAGCCCACCGCCACACATGTCGTGAATAGAAATTCCGCTAGACCATGCCCACGATGAGGCCATGCCTCTAGTGGAATGAGCCCTGATCCCCAGGGGGGCATTGCAGACCTTTTGACGCGTAAGTGGCTGCTATAGCGTCCACAATCCATCTGGACAGGCTTTGCTTCGAGGCGGCGAGATCCTTGGTGCGCCCACCAAACGAAACGAAAGCTGCTCCGAGCGCCTGAAAGCGGCGGAGCACGCAGTGTAAACCCTCAGCGCCCTGACTGGGCAGAGGAGATTAACATTGCTCTTGCTATCGGATGAAGGCAGAGCCGATAGAGAAATGACCTGCGCTCTGAGAGGAGTGCCAATCACTTTAGGAACATAGCCGTGTCTAGGTTTGAGGATGACTTTCGAGTCATTTGGCCCGAACTCAAGACACGCAGCGCTGACGGACAACGCGTGTAAGTCCCCCACACGTTTAACTGATGACAGAGCAGTCAGAAAAATGGTTTTGAGTGACAGGTACTTTAACTCCACGGAATCTAGTGGTTCAAAGGGAAAAGCTTTCAGGGCCTCGAGGACCAATGAAAGATCCCACATAGGAACCGACGGGGGGCGCGGAGGGTTCATCCTTCTGGCTCCTCTAAGGAAGCAGATGACCAGCTCATTTCTTCCTAGCGACCGGCCATGCGTCAACTCAGCGAAACGCCGCTACGGCCGGCACGTAAACTTTAAGCGTGGATGGGGACCTTCCCTTATCCAACAGCTCTTGTAGGAAACTGAGCAGCCGCGAGACCCCACATGTCCGTGGGTCCAGATTTTTGTTGGTGCACCATTTGAAGAACACAGACCATTTAGACGCGTACAGCTTTCTGGTAGAGGGAGCTCTAGACTGCGTGATCGTGTTCATCACTCCTTCTGGCAGGGCAACGGGTACCCGTTGATCAACCATGCGTGCAGAGACCAGCGCTCTGGATGGGGATGCCAGATCGAGCCGCGAGCTTGAGAGAAGAGATCTGTTCTCACCGGGATCGGCCACGGGGCTGTGTGTGACAGCCGCGTCAGCTTCGGGAACCAAGTCTGATTCTCCCAACGCGGGGCTATAAGGACCACCGAGTGGTGCATTTCCCTGATCCTCTTGATTACCTGTGGTAACAGAAAGATCGGAGGAAAGGCATACAGGGGGCGGCTGGGCCAGATTTGGGCCAGTGCGTCCTCGCTTTTTGAAAAAACATCGGGCAGTGAGCGTTGTCTTTTGATGCAAATAGGTCGACTTCCGCTTTGCCGAATAGGCCCCATAATTTCTGGACTGTTTGGGGGTGCAGGGACCATTTCCCTGGGGGATCGTTGTCCCTGGATAATTTTTCTGGGCCGTCGTTCAGGTGGCCTGGCACATGCGCAGCTCTCAGCGAGCGGCGGTGACGCTGAGACCACATGAGGAGGCGCTCTGTCAGATCGCAGAGGTTCCTGGATCTGACACCGCCCTGACGGTTCACGTAGGACACCACTGACATGTTGTCTGACCGGACTAGAACATGGTGGTCCTGTATGAACGGGAGGAAGCGCTTCAGCGCGTTCTCAACCGCCATCATTTCCAGACAGTTTATGTGAAGGAGCTTCTTCTGGTCTGACCACAGGCCCAAGGCCGGTCTGCCCTCGAAGAGAGCGCCCCAACCTGAGTTGGACGCATCTGTCGAGATGACCTTTCGATATGAGACAGCTCCCATCATCACTCCCCGCTGATACCAGTCGGCCGCTAACCAGGGCTGCAGAGCTGAGATGCAGGTCTGAGTCACTCTGATTCATTCGCAGCCAGAGGCCCAAGCTTGGCGAGACGCTCGAGCGTTCAGCCAGCGTTGAAGCGGGCACATGCGCAGTAAGCCCAGTTGAAGCACTGCAGCCCAGCATCCTCTAGAATGTTTTCGAAGGGATGATGCTGCCCTTCTGGAAAGACGCGGCAAGATGTTGAACACCGCGCTCGCGCTGTGTCGATAAACGAGCCGTCATGGCCACAGAGTCCAGTTCTATTCCTAGAGAGGAAATTGACTGACTAGGCAGTAATGAGCTCTTGGTCCAGTTGACCTTGAGACCCAAGCTTTCCAGGTGACTGAGGAGCACAGTTCTGTGAGATAGTAGTTATATCTCTGACTGTGCCAAGATCAGCCAGTCGTCCAGATAGTTCGTGATTCGCAAGCCCTGATTTCTCAAGGGGGCGAGAGCCGTGTCCATGCACTTTGTAACGTAGAGAGATGTGTGTTAGTAAGCGTGAGCGCTCGTGGACGGGGACAGGACTTACGTTTATATTCTGACTGATATGAGTCTTTAATGGCCGTGTGATAGAGCGGGCAGAAAGTAGGCGTGGACACGGACTCATGGACACATTTTCTACGTTTAACACTCGAGCGGCTATTTACCGCTTTATGGGAGTGGGCTCTGTGAGTGACACGGGAAGTGTTGTGCTTGTGTGTAGGAGTGAACACTGCGATGTGGGCACCTTTTCTACACTTAAAAACACCATCGGCGTGAGCCGGATCTGAATATGGCAGCTCGCTGAGGAGAGCCACATAAATTTTATCTGCTGCGAGAGCCGGGATCGAACACGGGTCTCTGGCGCGAGAGCTTTGGGTTTCACCACTGAACCACAGGGGAAACAACATAAGTTTCAGTTAGCGCGAGTAGATAAGAGAGCGTCATCACAGTTTTTGTTTGTCGGCGTTTGTTTGCAGGCGTGCGTGTTATATAACAGGCTCATTGCTGCAATATTGACATTACCGTCCGCTCGAACTAAGAGGAGCTGAGAAATATTTGAGAAATGGGGGGTTAATCAGTCCTCGGCGGGACTAACACACTCTTTCCTCATTTCGCCGTTGACGCATGCGCACGGGAGGGCGCATTCGCTTTCTGTACGTAAGAAAGCTGGCCGCGAGCTCAGAGAGGAGAGCTGCATAAATTTTATCCTCTGCGAGAGCACAAGGGAAACGACATAAGCTTCAGTTAGCGCGAGCAGATAAGAGAGCGTCACAGTTTTTGTGTCGGCATTTGTTTGCAGGCGTGCGTGTTATATAACAGGCCCATTGCTGACATTACCAGGCGCTCAAACTAAGAGGAGCTGAGAAATATTTGAGAAATGGGGGTTAGTCAGGCCTCGGCGGGACTAACACACTCTTTCCTCATTTTGCCGGTGACGTATGCGTGGGTGGGGTAGCTTTCTTGTAACGTAAAGAAAGCTAGCCGCGTTGGAACAGCTGTCAGCGGCGCATCCTCATCAATATCCAGCGCCTCGTCCCCTGAAGCAGCGGCAGCGCGGGCGGGAGCCGGCGGCTGCGCGTCCGGGAGGGGGGCGAGGAGAAGGAGAGAGAGAATGCTCGAGGGAGTAATTCCGGCGAGCGTTTGCATCAGAAACGACGGCAGTGCGGCTCGTGAGAGGAGGCGGAGAAGGTGAGAGCGAGGCTCGAGGGAGGGAGTCCGGCGAGCGCGTCGCGGTGGCCATAGGCTCCGGCGGCCTTTGAGAACGGCGCATATTTTCACGGTCCTGTAAAGGGCGGAGTGACAGCTTGAGGGTTGAACACTTCGAGCCGAGCCCACAGGGTTGACATCGGACGTGTCGCAGAGCTCGGACTACGAGAGGGCAGAGCTGCGTGTTCCTGGCCCAGGCAGAGAGCGCAGATCACATGGCGGTCTCCGTCGCTGAGCGGGGCTCTGAACGAGCCGCAGGAAGTGCGAGGCATCTTTAAAAAGATGCTCGCGCTCTTTTAGAGTGAGTTTTTGCAAGATAAAAAGTAGGGATGCACCGAATCCAGATTTGTGGGGTTCGGCCGAATGCCGAATCCACTGGTTAAGATTCTGCCGAATCCGAAACCGAATACCGAATCCTACTCTCATCCTCAGTCCATTAACACAGTAAACACATTAATGAAGTAAACAAAGTGGATTTTTCATTTTATTTTTTTACTGTAAATAATAAACACTACTTTTACTTTTATAACTGTAAAAAAAAAAAGAATAAGCAACATTATGCATTTTAACAGCGGCGTTGTTGTGTAGCCTATTGTTTAGAGTCCTTGCCACCATGAGACAAATCGGCATTGCAAATTGAACATGTAGCTCGACTTGAATTGCCTTCTTTTCACTGAAAGTACTGCCAAACAACACTTTTTCTGCTCACGAGTTCCATTTTCACTTTCTCACAGCCTACTGCATTCGAACGGTGCACCTACTGTAACGAGTGGAAATAAGGTGTGGCCCCTTTAAGAACTGCGCGCTCCTGTTGAACTGTCTGCAGTCCGTATTGCATGTGCCGTGCGCCTCGAACACATGCCCATGTATGCGGGTTATTTCTGTTTGATGCTCATTTTTACCTTATTTTGTTAAGTAACGCTGTGGAACGTAGAACGTGTGACAGACAGTTACACAAGTTCGATTGTGGAATAAAGTGCGAGTTGGGAGATGCCAATCGCCTCCGTGAGTCTGTCTGGCCTCTGCAATAACTTTAGCTGTGAGCTATCCCTATTTTTCTTCCTGACACAACGCGTTACACTACAGGCTTGTTCGACTTGAACCGGCGCTGCCCAGACAGATCAGTTTATGACATCAAAGTAGGCTACCGCGAGTGCAATTCAAAAGCATAAGGATCCGTCTCCTCTCTATTTCACGCGGTACTTTGATGTCATTCACTGATCGGTGACTTCGACGTAGCGCGCGTAGTGCAAGCCTAGGGTTCGGTTCGGTGGAAAAAAATTCTGAGGTTCGGCAGAAACCGAACCCCGTTAAAAAGCCCAATATTCGGCCGAATCCGAATCCTGGATTCGGTGCATCCCTAGTAAAAAGGATACGTCGCCGGATAGCGTAGCTTGCACGGATGGCTGAAGGTGGCGAAGACGGCCGGCTTCTTCAGGCGCTATCCTAAGCTGGCTAGTCACTTTCCTCGACGGCGGCGGTGGCTTCTCTCCAGCGATGCAAAGCGATGCAAAGAGCGTCGCTGAAGAGATGAAAATCAGAGAATCAGCCTCTGAGCCCTGCTTATATACTTTAAGCCACGCCCATACTGGCGGGCTATGACGCTGTGAAGGCGCGAGCACCCTTCATTGGACATGACGTCACGTCAGGCTCAGTGGTAGGCAGCTGCAGTTCCCGCAGGGCAGCCTATGAGCACGCTAGACAGCCTGCTCTAGGTCTGCTGCTAGCTGCTGCACTGCGTTGACAATGAATACAAAATTAAGGATAATTTTTTGCCTTCAATATCTCGAAAAGATTCATCTTTCCCGTAGCGTAAGAGAACTTCAAATAATAGCCGAGTCCCAAATAGACGCCTGTCTCTTTTACACGCCTGGTGTGGCTGCAGGTTTGGATAAATAAAGGCCGGTCTCAAATAGAGGCTGGGTCTGTTTTTTAGTTTCGGGTTGTATTTAATCTTCTAAAACCTGTCAGATCGTCTGCTTTTTGGTGGCCGCCAAAGCAAATTTGTGTCCCGCCAAACTAAAGCCTTTTTTGATCGATGAGTGATGTAGAATGACTGCGCTTGACAGGGCGCAGAGAGAGCGTCCTGGCCGCGTGTGCGCGCACTCACGTCTTCAAACAACACGAGGGTTGTCTTGCTCTCTCTCCCTCGCGCATATTAATCAAAATCAATTGACACGATAGTAAAAGGCCGGAAGACCGCAGTTTCACGTGGAGCATTTGGAGATTTTTAGAGATTAGAGACTCTAGGAACAACATCTCATCTCAGGCCTGTCTCATATAGACGCCAGTCTCAAATACAAGCCGGTGCAGTTCGACGATTTGGGAAAATAAAAGCCCGGGCTATTATTTGAAGTTTAACGGTAGGCATTAATTAGTACTTTAACTGTGTAGGGAATTTCGGGATTTAGCTCAATTACAGGGAACATAGTTTTAATAACTATGAAACATGATCGGGAATCACCTACAAATTATAACATTTCCCATAAAAGGGAAAAGTTACCAACGGCCTGTTGGACAACCGACATAACGAATTATGATCAGTTCCCCATCCAGGTCGATAGATAACGATAGATAGACAATAGATAAATTGTACTATCAATACTCAATCATAAGAATTATAATTAAATAATAATATATCAATTATGTCTATCATAAATCGATTGTCAGGATAATCTTTAAGGGGATTAATTTATGATCGAATCATCTGCCTGCCACCCCTTTAGACACGCCCCTGACAAGCAAGTCATGATTAGCAAGTTGTTTGTTTAAAATAGTCCATTGAAAGTCACACTTTTGCCATGTGAGACATTTTATGCCCTTGGAAGATACTTTTACGACGGCTGAAAGGTCAGTGCATGTATCGCCCCCTGTTGAATAGGCGTGACTTTGCTTTTCCTTCAGTCCAACACATATTTGTTTGACGTTTGTTGTGAAAGGGCCGTTTGTCAACAAATTCTCACATTGGCCTCTGATTTGATGGAATTACAATGACCATTCATAGTTTTCAGTCACGTGTTTGTCGCAGAGCCGTGGAGGGCAAAACAGCCGTAGAACTGCATCACAGCCAGGCCTGTCAATTTTCTATAAATATGTAAACAAGATGAAGTTTTGGGCACTTATGTTCCATATACAGCAACTGCTACAGTATTTCAATCACTAAAAACAGCAGGACAATTTAAAACGCTTTACCTGAAACACTTAAGCCCTATTCGCATGGGATAAGTATTACCTGGTGACCTCTAGTCATTTGTAATTATTGCGGAGGTTGTCTGTGATCTTAATCCCTTGCGAATCGCCCATGTCCGTATTTTGTAAAGTAAAAATTCCCCCGCAAATGACCTACCATATTTCGCCGAACAACGAGGTCCTGTGATATTAGTCCTGTGTGAATCGGCATCTCTGTGATTTGGCGGGGTCGTTTATCATTTTTTTTAAACTTTTTGTTTCCCGTGCACCTTTTCATCCATCTTTCGTGATGAATGGAGGCTGCGTTGGAGTGCCATCCATCCATCTTCTTCCGCTTATCCGGGGCCGGGTCGCGGGGGCAGCAGTCTGAGCAGAGATGCCCAGACTTCCCTCTCCCTTGACACTTCCTCCAGCTCTTCCGGGGGGACACCGAGGCGTTCCCAGGCCAGCCGGGAGACATAGTCTCTCCAGCGTGTCCTAGGTCTTCCCCGGGGTCTCCTCCCAGTGGGACGTGCCCGGAACACCTCCCTGGGAAGGCGTCCAGGAGGCATCCGGAACAGATGCCCGAGACACCTCAGCTGACCCCTCTCGATGTGGAGGAGCAGCGGCTCTACTCTGAGCTCCTCCCGAGTGACCGAGCTTCTCACCCTATCTCTAAGGGATCGCCCAGCCACCCTGCGGAGAAAGCTCATTTCGGCTGCCTGTATCCGGGATCTTGTCCTTTCGGTCATGACCCAAAGCTCATGACCATAGGTGAGAGTAGGAACATAGATTGACCGGTAAATCGAGAGCTTTGCCTTACGGCTCAGCTCCTTCTTCACCACAACAGACCGGTACATCGACCGCATTACTGCAGAAGCTGCACCGATCCGTCTGTCAATCTCCCGTTCCATCCTTCCCTCACTCGTGAACAAAACCCCAAGATACTTAAACTCCTCCACTTGAGGAAGGATCTCTCCACCAACCTGAAGTGGGCAAGCCACCCTTTTCCGACTGAGGACCATGGCCTCGGATTTGGAGGTGCTGATTTTCATCCCAGCCGCTTCACACTCGGCCGTTGGAGTGTTTATATAGTATTTTGGGTCCTGGGTCATATCGCTATATTATAACGTCAATACATTTTCAAGCAATAGTCTATTGACATCATATCCGGGAGATAAGTCAGTAAATTCGAGTAAAATCACAGGCTTCGGTTATCCCGTGTGAATCCGCCACACGGAGTTCAGATGTGGGTGGGTAATTTCTAAATCACACGTGGTCCCCATGTAATACTAATCCCGCGGAAATAGGGCTTAAGGATGGGTTGCACCAATAAGGATTCAATTAAGCAAAGTTTACCAGTAATCGAGGATTTGTTGATTTATTTTCAATCGAGTTGTGTTTTTACGACTTAATTTTAAACACAGATTAAGCACTCAGAAACACTGTTAGAATTAAAGGGCTGATCAAGCAACATAGGCGGAGGGTGAACTCTAAAACAGTGATATTAAAAAAATCGAATTTACTTTGTTGATAATACATACCATATACAGGTGAGCAAATGAGCCAGGAATATTAACGCAATGCATTTTTGGTGAAAAAAACTCTTAACGTGAAAACTACAAACCACTGGAGGGCAATGGAGAAAAGCCTTATTTTTTTGCCCCCCAGGTGGCGTTCCTATAATGGTGTGATGTCACGTGCAAACTATAAATTGAACTTGTCAGTGATCTCGACTTTGGGCTTCACTTATTTCGCATTTGTCTCTCATTTGTCTCTCATTTGTCATTTCTCTTGATTTAATTTTTCTTTTAGACCTGACGTCGTGAACAAGAAAGACGTGGACAAGATGTGAAAAAGAAAGGAAAAACAATGAATTTCTGGCATGTCAGAAATTTTGGTTGCTCCTCGTGCCTATATCGCACAGTTGAAGCAGAGCTTCACCTATTGCCCTAAACTCAGTGTTTTTTCCCTCACTGCGCCGGCGCGAAAACAAGTTTAACAAGTTCATCTTTAATGCAGAAAGAAAGAAAAATTACTTATTTTCTTTGTTACTTTCACTGAACTTAGTTTACTTAATTCCATATGTGAAATTTACTTTAAAAATGTGTGAAATTTACTTAAAAAAATATTTGTGCAAAAACTTTCCAAAGAAAAATTAAGTACATTTAAAAAAAAAAAAAATTTTCATTGTAGCTACATCGTGCCTCTTTTATTTTTATTTGTTTTGATTTGATTTGTTTAACAATGTTCATGTTAAACAAGCTGTTTTTAAAATAAAGCTGTTTTTAATTTTCATTGATGACTGATTATTGCTGTTTAGATATATTATAGACTGTTAATACTTTTAATTAAAGGCCTATAATTCAGTGTAATTTACCTAAATGTTTTGACCATTTTCAATGAGAATTTTCAATTTTCACTAATAGCGTGGGCTTTAAACACCGTGGGCTTTAGAACCATAGGGATGGCACTGTTGGGGATACAACTTATGTGGAGGAAATAACCACCATCCAAGAAGGCCAACACTGTACCCACCATTTTGTGTAATGCACTAACCCCTGCTGCAGTGTAATGTGTAAGATCCAGATGTTTGTTGAGGATGTTCTGGCCTTAGACCAGGGGTCTCCAAGCTTTATGTGTGCGAGGGCTACCTCAAGGGATAAATTAATCTAGAAGGGCTACTTGTTTGTTACATTCAAATATTTTTTTTTTTTTTACTTTTTTTTTTTTTACTTTACCTTTACTTTTAACTTTAACTTTTTTACTTTTCACCATCATATGCGAAATTATAAAATATCTTAATATTCTGGTTCAGACTTAAGCGTTTAGAAAAAATTCAACAATTCCTGGGTTTTGACCTACAAATTATGTAAATATATATTGAAATATGTACATTCATAATTTTCTCTCTGAAAATCACATTTAACTGCCACACAATTTTAGGAGTCATTTGCCACCAATGGCAACAAGAAAAGTGTTTGATTTTGTCTCATCATAGAAATGGACAGTAAAACAAAAAAGCTTAAGTCGGGATGCAAATCTAAATTTGTTTATAAACTACATCTGTAAAAAGTGTAGAAACCTCATTTTTAAATATTTTGATACTGCAGTTGTAGTTGTAACTGGACAGCCCTTCTGTTTTTTATTTGCTCACTTTCATAGTAATTGTTGTGATTTCATGAAGCCTCGTGGTGTGAATGAAGCATCAAACTGATTAGGAATAACTCTTTAAAATGTATTTATGATACTGGATATCAAGGGTGAAACTGTTAAAAAATGTAGACAGACATCAATCTCATTCAGTGTCAGTCATGTGTGGGTGAAATATAATTTATTAAGCATTTAAAATCTCTAATGAGAAATTAACAACATGGAAAGTTTAAAAAGCAATCATAATAAGCTATTTTATGACTTTCAGAACTAAAATTATTCTGTAAAATTACAGAATAAAATTAAAATGGACAATAGCAATGTGTTGGTAAAAATGTGTAAAGAGTTTAATCAATCATTACTTGAAGCAAATACAAACATAAAGTAAAAGTGAATGAGACAGATCTCTCTCTTTACTGACTTATAAGAGCCAAAGCATCTCAAGAGAAGAAAAGTGTCCAGTTTCAAAGATTTATGAAAGTATATCTTGCGTTTGCATGGAAGAGTAGAAGTGGAAGAGAAACTAGATGTTTTGAAGAACAATGAAGAATGAGTTAAAAATTAATATCAGATTGTATTATAAGTCTCTATTAAAAGTGTTGTGGTCTTCTTCAGCTCCTGAACTGGAGGAGAGGAGATGGTGATGAAGCCAATTAGTATAAATATGTAGTGGGTTTTCTTCTGCGTTGTGTTTGATTTTAAAGAAAGAGATCGTACACAATGATGTACTTTTGTTTTTCTTTTCTCTCAGCCTCGCTGTCTGTGTCAAAAGAAATAACAGACACCATCACACTTAAGCACAAGTAATTGGCATTTCTGGTCTAGCCGTGCCTGTCAATCAACACACGATATCTCAATGTAAATTCATATACAGAAAATACATTTAAAAATTGCATGGATCCTTCAAAATAAACAAATACAAGTTTACAAATGTATAACTCATATTAAATTCAACTGTAAAGATTTCAAATGTGCTATATGTAGCTTTTCTTCTAAAAATGAATCCTTTTTTTATTGCCTGTGTGTGAAGGGGTTGTAATCACACATTACAATGATCCACTTGTCGGGTTTTGCTATTACCTACCTCTAAAGGCCAATATTCATATTTATATGTGAAGTCTCCGGGTCGGATTTACCGCGAAATCCATCGGATGTGACGTGCATGCGCACTCCCGAGCCTCTCTCCTTTTTATATACAGTCTATGTGACGGCACTGCAGCTGAGGACATGGAGTCTGATAACACCAAACAACGACCTGCCTCCAGCACAACACAGACTCCAACACAAACTCCACATAAATATACAAAACAAAACAAAAATGTATCTGCTGAAGCTCATCAGGCCAAACGTGAATCGAAACACGGATCAACATCGGCAGAGCGTTTGAATTATGTGATAAATTACAAGTTTTCAGATATGCTGAAATAAATAATGGTAAACTGTAATGAAATAGCAAGGTAAACTACAACATACATGAGACATGAAATGAATACAAAAGACCAGGATAACAAAAAGTAGGTGCTTTAGGATGTAACTTTTATTTAATGTACTAGATCATTAAAATTGGTTGCAATCTGAAACATCACCGATAGAGGCTGCTAAAAAATACATATAGCACCTTTAAATGTTTTAAATGGAAACATCAAAACATTTCACACACATTTTCATTATCTTAAATATAGAACCATTTTGAATTTCAGCCCATAAAAATGCAAACCCTAAAAATACATTGCATTAAAATACAACCACTGTTAATGCAATGCAGATTTATTCAGTTAGTGCAATTCAACAAGCTGTTTTGTTTAAAAAAACATTTAGCATTGTTTTAACTCCATATTTTTGTTTAAAGAAAGCCATTTTGTTCAGATTATATATATTTATTTTTTACATTTTGCTTACATATTTCCTGTATTTCCTGTTTGTATTTTTATAAAGAGCCAAAAAATAAAATGTCATTAAAAAATTGTTAAAAACAACAAATCGTGTGGTGGCCTAAGACTTTTGCACAGTCCTGTATCCATATAAATATTATCTTTATATTTATATATTGTAAATACATTATCAATTAAAAAAAATGCAGTTTGTACATTATGTATAAAGAAGAGCTGTAATTGATATAAACACGTTTACGTGTGATGAATAGTTTACCCTTTAGATTGGGTGAATGTGAATGATGTATTCATGCGTTTACTATAACAGGTTGTAGTTTGTACTGCATTTGCTGACGACAGCAACAATCCTCCGTTCATTCGGGGTGACTCTGATATATTCAAGGTAATGTTGATTCCAGCAACTGCTCATGTTCTCTTTCTCACATTCTGTTTAGATAATGCTGTCACATTTGTGAGAATTTACAGGCAAAAACAGTCTGTGTAGCAACGACAGACAGAACAGTTTCCTGCTTTGCTGGAACTTTTGCCATTTCCGTTAGAACTGGTTACACTGTAATGCCAGCTCTGAATTAGCCGCTAGCTTGAAGGTCTCTGAATTCAAACAGCACAGAAAATGTGTGGACATAAGACAAAGCAACTTCACAAAAATATCATGAAAACGGAATAACAACCTGAGTTAACTTACATCTGTCCCTGAGCTTCTGAGATGAGAGAAATCAGGCGAGAGCAAACTGTTGATCAGCTATACAGGTTCCTGGGCTCACAGCCTCCAACTCAGTCACATGAATGACCTGACTGTGAATGCATTACCTCTAGCGGCCTCCAGTGGCCACTTACAGGAGGTAATATTATTATAAGATCCTCTTCCTACGTCAGGCTTAGTAGTAGTCAGTAGTAGAGAAAGTCAGTAGTAGTTTCCTGTGTTTCTCTTTCCTTCAGTGATTCTGCTTGTTAACAGCAGGTGTTCATCACCAATGCTCAATCATCACTTAAAGCCGCAGTAGGTAACTTTTGAAATTTTTTTATTTTTTACATATTTGTTAAAACTGTCATTATGTACTGACAGTAAGTAGAATATGAGACAGATAATCTGTGAAAACATCAAGCTCCTCTGGCTCCTCCCAGTGGTCCTATTGCCATTTGCAGAAATACACTGCTCCCGGTCAGAAACAACCAATCAGAGCCCGGAGGAATGTCTTAGCAGTGTCCATCAAGCTCATGTACGCGCTGACCACAGCCCTCTCTTGCACAGCGCGTACCGTTGTTCAAAATCTAGATTGCCGGTGTGCCGCATCTGTGCTAATGGCGGACAAACCACCAAAATTCCCAATTTTTCGAGTGGCTCCTGCTCATCCAAAAAAGATGTGTAAACGAAAAAAAAAAACGATGACTTTTAACTAGCGAAAAAGAAAGAACTAGACAGAGCACGAAATAAAACGAGGGTAGGCTAAACATCGGAGCGGCTTTTCCTAGGTGGAGGGAGCTACGTGTTTTAAAAAAAATAAAAACCGATGCAGAGTTAGCCACATTTCTGCTTGAAAAGTAGCCTAAGTATCCCTGCTTCATTTGTTTCATTTTATAAGAACTCCGCACACACGGCTTCCTTTTTAGTGATTATGTGAATTACACTGCGCAAACCAAAGTAATAGCCTACTACCCACCGGATGAAGAAGGGTTGGCTCTCAGTCTCCACAGTACATCAAATATTCATTTTATTTTTCGTGTTTGCATTTATGAGGAAAAAACAATGTTACGGACGTGAGCGCTCTGAAAGCGGCACTAAAAGATGCTTTAAAACTTTCACAGAGACATCAAACAGAAAGCACAACACCTTTCTTTAACGTGAATTTCGTTTGTAGTAATTTTATCTTAATTTTAATCAATGTTTCATCAACCAATTGCCTGGATTTAATAAATAAGAAGTAAATATAGCTGACGATAGATAAGAAACGGAGGCGCCGGCGCGTGAACTGGAGCTGGTCTCATAAATGAACCGAAACTCAG